CTCCCTCTCCCTCTCCCTCTCCCTCTCCCTCTCCCTCTGTGTGTGTGTGTGTGTGTGTGTATGTGTGTGTGTGTCTCAGACAGACAGACAGAGAATGAGAATGATGGTTCATTTACTTTATAAGGTCCAAATGAGTTTGTAGTGCTACATCCCTCCAAGCATGTAGCGTGGTGTGCAGTCATCAGGTGTGAAGGATTAGGAACACAGGAGAATGTAGAGGGTGACAGCTGAATTCTACCACCCAGGGTATGAAGACGTCGTCTGGATCCCCAAAGGCTCAGTCCACATTTTCATCCAAGATCTGAACCTGTCCCTTAGTCACCTGGGTAAGCAAAGACAGGAATAAGGATTGTGATTCTATGGGAGTTGGGGGACAGATAGAATGACTTCAGTTCTGACTCCTGTGCTTTAACCTAGCCCTAAAGGGGGACCAGGAGTCTCTGCTACTAGAGGGACTACCTGGGACCCCCCAACCTCACCGCCTTCCCCTGGCTGGAACCACATTCCATCTACGGCAGGGGCCAGACCAGGCTCAGAGCCTAGAAGCCCTGGGACCCATTAACGCGTCTCTCATCGTCATGGTAACAAGGAGGCTGGGGGCAAAGTACAGAAGACCCTGAGTGTCTGTGGGGAATGGGGATTCCGTGATGCCTCCAACTACTGTTCCTGTCCTTCTAGGTGCTGGCCCAGGCAGAGTTGCCTGGTCTCCGCTACCGCTTCAATGCGCCCATTGCTCGGGATGCACTGCCTCCCTACTCCTGGCACTATGCCCCCTGGACCAAATGCTCAGCCCAGTGTGCAGGCGGTGAGGCTGGGGTGCGGGCTAGGGACCAGCACTGCAGCCAACCTGAGCTTCTCCAGACTAGCCAGGGCTGAGATGGCTTCTCCCTTCCCCCAGGCAGCCAGGTCCAAGTGGTGGAGTGCCGAAATCAGCTGGACAGTTCAGCAGTGGCCCCACACTACTGCAGTGCCCACAGCAAACTACCCAAGAGGCAGCGTGCCTGCAACACAGAACCATGCCCACCGGAGTAAGTGTCCTCTGTCGGGGCAAGATGGCCGCCCAGGGTTGGGTGAGAGTGTTCTCTGCAGTCAGGCTGAGTGCTCATAGGAGGATGGAAAGGGTCACTGGAGAAGTGGAGCATCCATAGGGTGAGAACTGGAGTCAAGGAGCTCGTAAGATCGGAGGGTCAAGTGCTAAGATGAGGGTCAGAGCCAGGTTGTCAGCTGAATGTACATGCTGGTTATCCCAGCACTGGGGAGGCGAGACAGAAGGGGTGAGAGTTCAGACCAAGCAGGATTACCTAGTAAATTAGAAGCCACCCTGAGCTGTATAATACCTTGTCTCAAAAACTAAAGTACAGGAAGACACTCAAGGTCACACATGTTCATGCACATACATGCACCAAAAAACAATTGAAACAAAATTAATTGTTCTACAGTCTGAGTGATTATGCTCTGTAGTCAAGCTCTAGTAGCCCAAGACACGGGTTCTCTTTAGATCCCCACCTCCTATATGAAATCTGGATATAGGGTAACGGTGATCTATGAGGGGGGTCTCCTGTCAGTCTTGGAAGACTGGGGTAGTCAAATCGGAAGGCTGTCTGGTTGTACTGGCCTGCCCTGCACACTGCTCAGACCCCTCCCTCCACCACCACAGCTGGGTTGTAGGAAACTGGTCACGCTGCAGCCGTAGCTGTGATGCTGGTGTGCGTAGCCGCTCAGTGGTGTGTCAGCGCCGGGTGTCTGCTGCAGAGGAGAAAGCCTTAGACGACAGTGCCTGTCCACAGCCACGCCCACCTGTGCTGGAGGCCTGCCAAGGCCCAATGTGCCCTCCTGAGTGGGCAGCCCTGGACTGGTCTGAGGTTAGCTTCCACCTGTTTTCCCACCCAACCCACTCTCAGTACAGAAAGCACGTAGGAACTGGACTGTCCATTTGGAAAAACTGTTAAGGTTACCTTGCCCCAAGCCCTACTGTTACTGTGCTCAGGAGATGTGCATTATGGGTCCCAAGACTTGGACTCTGGGCTTGGTCTGGCCTTTAGCATATGAAAGATGGTACTCAAGCCTGGGACTGGTGGTACTTTATGGGTAACAAAGTAGCATAGACTGGGTTGGAGGACAGCACAGGGCCCCCTTTCCACTCAACGTGTCACACTGACCTAACACCCTGACCGTCACAATGTGTCACACTGGCCTAGCACCCTGACTTATGAAACACCCCTTCCAACTGCAGTGTACCCCGAGCTGTGGGCCTGGTCTCCGCCACCGAGTGGTTCTTTGTAAGAGTGCAGATCAGCGATCTACTCTGCCCCCTGGGCATTGCCCTCCTGCGGCCAAGCCACCATCTACTATGCGGTGCAACGTGCGCCGCTGCCCTCCTGCACGCTGGGTGGCCAGTGAGTGGGGCGAGGTAGGTAGGCTCGCCCTCTGGGATGACGGTGAGGACAGCGGTCGTAGGGAGATGACTCAGTGACTCCTCTCTTCAGTGTTCCACACAGTGCGGCCTGGGCCAGCAGCAGCGCACAGTGCGCTGCACCAGTCACACTGGCCAGCCATCCCGAGAGTGCACTGAGGCTCTGCGACCATCCACCATGCAGCAGTGTGAGGCCAAGTGTGACAGTCCAGCGCCGCCTGCAGATGGCCCAGAAGGTATGTGAACCAATGAGACAAAGGGCACCAGGCCTTAGAGAAGCCACAAGTAAGCATGGGTCAGGCCTTTAAGATTCTATTAAAATTTTACTTATGGTTTTGCATAAATTCATGGGTGAGATGGGGGCTGACCTGCCTTGGAGTCCCTGTGAAGATCAGAGGCAACTTGCAGGCAGTTGATTCTGTCCTTCCATCATGTGGGTTTTAGATTCAAACTCAGATCTCATATAGCCTGGGTGGACTTCCAACTCAAGCTGATGACAGGCAAGGATGACTTGAACTCCTGATCTTTTAGCCTCCAACTTTCAAGTGCTAGACTTACAGAACTTCACTACCACACACAGCTTTTGCAGTACTGGGGATGGTGGCCAGGACTTGACCCAGCCAAGCAAAGCCTCTACCTCCTCAGCCCCCAACCCTGCTCAGGCATTGCTCATGTTTGGGGCCACATAAATCTACAATGTGATTTGTGAGATGTTTCCAACTGGCCTCCACCCACTAGACAATGGCAGTCTCCCACATTCATAGTTTATATCTGTCCATAGCTGCAGACACCTCGTGCCCAGTTTAGGAAGAGGGAAAAGTCAATGCTTGTACATCATTGCTTTTGCACGATACCTGTCTATTAACCTAGTTGGCTTTCTTTATTTTTCATTTTCATTTATCATGGTTTGTTTTATCACTTTGAGACAAGACTTCATGGAGCCCAACGTGTCTGACCTTGAACTTCTTGTCCCAAGCTCTGGGGTTTTAAGCATGCACCACCACACCGATGGTTCTCTTTATTAAATCAGGCCTTGTTCACACTCGGGGCTCAAGCACTCCTCCCAGTGGTGGACCTTCCAGCCTTATGTCATTCCCCTCTGTGAAGAGTGCAAGTAACACATATGGGCCTATCAGTAATCACATGCCACTGCTAAGTAGAAGCTTCTATCCATTGTCCCCAGCAGAGGCTGTTCAACAGAGCTTCATGTGTGCTAGCTGAATGCTGTCTCACTGAGCTATTATCTGGTCTTTAAATATACAAATTCTTTGAGCTGAGCTCAAGGGCTTGAGTTTATTGAAAAGGGATCCGCTGTGGCGGTGGGATTTAAAGAGATACTCTGTCTTGGCATCTGAAGGATCACAGGACTCTTATTTTAGTTATTGGGTTGGCCATGACAGAAGGATTGCACATTCAAGACTAGCCTATACTACAGAGTAAGCTTAAGGCCTGCCTGAGAACATATCTAGACACTGTCAAAATTAAAAGTCGAAGGAGGGCTAGGAAATAAAACTCAGAGAGCTGGCCTAACATGCTCATAACCAAATAAGCTCACAGTTCAATCTCCGGAACCCACATCAAGATGGAAAGGAAGAATCTAATCCACAAAGTTGACTTCTGACTTCCACATGTGTGCTGTGACATGCACACCTGTGCATTTACATCATACACAGAATAGGTAAATAAATAAATAGAACCTCAAAAATAGGCTGCTGACAGAAGAATGATTATAAACGCCCTTTGAAGGGTGAGGAAACTGATGTACAGGAAAGCAAAACGGCCAGCTAGAGCTCACGACTGCTGGGAAGAGTGCTGGACTCTGATCTCTTCCTCCCGTCAACTCTCCTTTTGTTCTCTCCTGCCCCTTCCCTTACCACTGCAGAATGCAAGGATGTGAACAAGGTGGCATACTGCCCCCTGGTGCTCAAATTTCAGTTCTGTAGCCGTGCCTACTTCCGCCAGATGTGCTGCAAAACCTGCCAAGGCCGCTAGGGTACCTGGAACCAACCTGGAGCACAGGCTGAGGCAGGGGAAATCCCACTGGAGGGGGCATGAGGGAGGGGGGCTGGGATTGAAGGGTGAGATGCAGTTGGAAGTTATTTATTGGGTAACCCCCTGGGCTCCTGGCTAGGGGTTGGAGAAGAGCTGGCTACCCAGGGACCCTCTTCAGTATCTCATCCAGCTGACAGTGAAGGGAGAGGACTGCCCCTTGGTGCACACATTTTTAAGTCCCTAACATTCCCCCGACCCTTTGATCGGAATATGTACTGTGAAGAGTGGGGGTGGGGAGGGGGTATGCTGGTGCCCTGCCCCCCAACACTGTTCTATCCCTACACTCTGAGCTGGGGGAAATTATATCTGCTATGGGGGGGGGGGGAGTGGGTTTGATACCACCTCCCTGTGACCCTCCCCCAGACTGACCAAGGGGAAGTTCTACCCCAACCTCTGCCCTGCTTGCCCCAGGGGGCGAGTCCAGCATCCAGGCCATTTCCCATCATGGTGCTACAAGCCCTGCCCTGGGGCCCACACACTCCTCACCAAGAAGCCTTACATTAATAAAGTTCTGTCTGGTGTAGATTTCTGCTCATGACTGGGTTTGTGTCTCTATATAGACATTCCATCTAGGATGTACCCTAGGATCAAAAGGAACCACAGCCAGGGTTAGCAAGATGTCTCAGTGGGTAAAGGCACTTGCTGTCAAGCCTAAATTTAATCCACAGGAACCATGTGGTAGAAAGAGAACCAACTCCTATAACTTGTACTCTGCCCTCCACAAGCTTGTTGTGGCATTTGTGCCCACACAATACACACATAAATGAATGAACAACTAGAAGCTTTGTTTAAGGCACAGGGGAAGTAGTCCACACTTTCTAATGGGTCATCTTTGGCAGGGAGAAAGGACTTTGCCCACTGCAGATAAAAACCTATCATTTTAAGACAAAAGCACAGCTTCTTACCGAGCCTAACAAAGGTCCAATTCTTTTGTACTCCCAACCAAATATGATCTTTCTGCCTCCCTTCCACATATGGAGTTGTGCTATTGTCCCTGAATATTGGAGAAGAATATAGGCTTCTCAGCTATGGCCAGGAGGGCATGTGTGTCATGGAAAGAGAGCACAGGACACAGAGACATCCCAGTCCTCAAGTATGGACCAAAGATAGTTTAGAACACAGGTTCCTGTCAGGCTCTCACCAGTCTGGTTTGGTCTTAGCCACCTCCCCAGTGGGTGGCATGAGGAGGTGACAACCTCTTGGCACTGTCATTTCCTTAAATGCCAACAGAAGACTCATGTGTGATCTGATCTTCCAAAGATCAAGGACTGGGCTAACCTATGGCAGCACCTACATGTGCTAGGTGCTGCTGATAGAACCAAGTCAGGAAAGCAGCAGGGCTACAGGTGTGGAAACCCAGACTGGGCCAGGAATGGGGGTGTACACCTTTGATTCCCCACGCTCCAGAGGCAAGAGGATCTCTGAGTTTTGAGACCAAATTTCCTACTTTGCATAGCCAACTCCAGACCAGTCAAAATTATACAGTGAGACCCTATCTCAAAGTCAAAAACAAACAAAACAATAACCAGATTGGGGGGGGGTGCTTACTGGATGGATGGCTCTGCTGTTAAGACCACTTCCTGTTGTTTCAGAGGACCTCAGTTCAATTCCAAGCACTCGCATCAGGTGGTTAACAGCCTCCTGTAACTCCAGATCCCAGAGATTCAACGCCTCTGGCTTCCAAAGGTGTCCTCTCTCCCTCCCTCCCTCCCTCCCTCCCT